CCACTTGGCGCGCTCCAGGCCGTAATCACGGAAGGCCACTTCGCGCACAGGCTGGACGTGTGTGGCCAGGTTGGAAGAGTAGGGGAAAGTCATCTGGCAGGATGACGGCTGAGACAGGAAGGACGGCTTGCTGGCGAAGTCCGACGGGGCCACATAGTAGGCGCAGCCGGGCAGGTACATGCTGGCTGCGCTCGGGCCGCACTCGTCAAAGTCGTTCATGGCTCCGCGCCGTGCGCGCCGGCGAGCCCCGGGCCGCTCCCCGCGCCGCCAACCTGAGCCATCGATTGCACAAGAGGTTTGGGCCAGGATCAACTAAGCAAAAATCCCCACCGGGCGCTGACGTGCAATTCATCTTGATTGATTCTGGTGGTAATTATGTCACGTGACTCCATGGAGAGAAATGTCCTTATATCTATATCAGCGCTCGCCAACACGCCCCGGGACGGCTCCTGGCGCCGCGACGCGCGCGCGCTGGGGGCGAATAGGCCGCCTTCTCCCGCCGGCTCTCCCGAGGCTTCTTCCGAGCTGGCTGCGCTGCAGGCCAGTCACCTGCGCGCGGCCAGCGGCTGCCACCGCTGGGCGCATCTGCCACCGCCCTGCCGGGCCGCCCGCCCGCGTCCGCCCGCCCGCGCCGCTTTAAGTACGCGGACCGAGGCCGGCGGGGAGGAGCAGGGAGGGGGAGGAAGGAGGAGGAAGGGGGAAGGGAGAGAACGGCGAGCAGAGGGGGGCAGCCCCTGCCCTGGGCACTGGGGACTAGGTGTGAGAGTGTGAGTTTCCCACCCCCCACACCCTTTCCTGAAGGCGCAGCCTCCCCCGCGATGCCACCACCCTCTGCAGCTCGCCTGCCCGCTGGGAGCTTGTTGCTTCTTGTTCTCCGGGTATAATTGCACTGCTCTCTGGGGCGCAGGGAACCCAGATTTACATATCTCTGTGCCTGGCGTGGTTACCATTGGAGCTTGGCTTTCTCCGCGGCAATGCTGGTCTCAATAATCCCAAACCCAAGCCCTCCCAGACACTCACCGGGCTGGGGCCTCCGCTCCCTCCCGGTCCTCCTTCGTCTTCCCTCTTCTGTCTTTCTCCCCATGTCCATTCCTCCCCCCTCTCTCTTTCCTCTGTCTCTCCTCAGTCCTCTTTCTTCTATCACTGCTCTCTCGTTTCTTCTTTCTTCTACCCATAATTTTTCTCCTCGCCTCCCATCTTCAATCTCCTGTCCTCACAGCCTTTTCTTCTTTCCCCCAAGCGGTGTATCAGGATTTCGGTCTCTTTCCAGTCACCCCTCTGACTTCCCTCATACAGTGATAAAGCGAGAAGGATGCTCAGCCAGCAGATACCCTGTGGCCCCAGCTTCTCTTGAAGCTGGAGGGAGGTCTGGAGAACAAAAGAATCTGGAGTCCTACCCTCAGGTGGCTAGGTACTTGCCCCCCCCAAGAGAAGCCAGGCACCCATGCCTCCACCCGGTTCACCCTTTAGGCTTTCTTGCCTAGTTTGGGACCAGCCCACCTCGAACCCAACCCTCTCCTGCTTCAGCATCCACAATGCGATGCGTTTCTCCCAGACTCCTTTGGCTTCTTTGGGCCACAAGGTGCCTTGTGGTCCCCCAGGAGGTCTGTTGGCTCTCAGCAGAGTCTACCTCCCAGTTCAAGCCCTTCTGAGCCACCCAGCCCAGAAGCTACCTCTTCAGTGCTACCATCCAACCGACTCAAGGCCTCACTCTCCTCCCCTGCCGCCATGGCCGGCTGGCTTTCCAAACCCTGAGGTCCAGGCGAGGCCTGTGATCCCGTCTCCGGGAGAGCGGGCCTTCCCAGAAGTAAAATCAGTCTCTCCGAAAGAGGCTCCCGACCCCACATCCCAGAACCGAGGGCAGGGGACGGTCCCTCTGTCCAGACATCCTCAGCACTGGGACATGGGCCTCAGCCCTATGCCCAGGATCGATGGCGCTGTTGAGGAGCGAGCTCGATCCCCGGCTGGGTCACCGCAGTGCTATGCACTCTTGCCCACCCAGCCGACACACAGAGAAAAGGCGGGTGGTCGGAGCTAATATCTATTTTCTGACCGATATTCCCCCTTCCCCTCTCTCTTCCCACCCTCTTTCCCTCCCTCTCCCGCCTCCACCCCTCCCACTTCTTCTTGCCTCCCAGAACACTGCGCAAACAGGTCACAGCATTGGAGAGCACCCACCACAGACGCTCCCCCCAACCCAGAGCAGCCCCTACTGAGGGTGCCCCCTCCCCATGGCTGGCATCTCCGCCCAGACGCCAACTCAGCCCCTGACCCGCACCTCAGACCTCAGACCTCGGACACCCTCATCTGACTCCCCATCTCCATCCAGGGATCAAGCCTTTTCCTTTCCTTTCCGACTCGTGGTCGACGCCCCTGGCGCTCTCTCCTAAAATGGCTCCCCGGACACTGCACACTGCCCCTGCGGCTGCTTAGAACCCAAGGAGGCGGCTGGGGCTCTCAGGATAGGTCTCTCTGCGTCTAGGGATGCGTAAAATTCCTGCACCTCCTCTCGGCTCCAGGCACAGGACCGGGCGCAAGGAGCTGGCAGCCCCCAAAGTGGAGCCTGCAGACCGCCAAAGGGGAAAATGGGGAGGACAAACCATTCAAGTTCAACGACATGGCGACGGCGGCGACGGTGGGGAGCTTCGCTTTGGCGGGGGAGGGTGCGCCATCTGCAGCAGCGCGGGCGCACAGAGGAGAAGGGGACAGCGGGGCCCCTTCCCTCCCCTTAGTGTGGACTCCCGCCCACACACACAACCCAAGGCTTTCGTTCCAGCCCTGCCGGCCTCACCCTTAGGCCCTAGCCGCCTCCTTAGCTCTTAGTCCTCTTTTTTTTTTTTTTTTTTTGAACCCCAGGGACGTCCACAACCTCCAGACCCCCGTGTCCCGCTCCGGAACCTACCGTGCCGAACGGCGCTGGGGCCTTGTCCTCCGCCGGCGCCGCCTCACCAAAGAGGCAGGACGCCTACTCGGTCCTCTGCGCGCAGCCCGCGCCTGCAGCTCGCGGCGAGATGTGCCTTTCCGCGCAGCACCAGGACGCGATGCGGTATTTTTGAGCTACCCAAGATAAGACACTAACTTGACCTTAACTTTGTCAGGGCGCCCCTGGTATCTGGAGAACGTGAACAGACACTGTCTGGCAGCTCTCGTAAAAGCTGACTGGGGAAGGGATTCTGAGTCATTTCATTTATTGCCACTACAGTTCTGCAAGGAAGCGTCTCTTCTCTGCCAAACTTTAATTATTTATGCTCTTTTAGGAAACGAAAGAAGACGAAAAAAAAAGGGGGGGGCAGAGCCAGTCCCTTTTCGGCAGAGCCTTCGGAATGGCTTCAATTGAGGCGACAGGAAAACAAGAATGTGAGGAGATCATCTTTGTCTGAGGACAGTGGGGCTGGCGCCGCACCCCCCCCATCATTGAGGGGGGTGACACAGCTGGAAGAGGCGGGGTGGAGGGACACCCACACCCACACACAGACATGAATATTTACAGCGGTTCCGGATCTCTCCTCTTCCCGCGCCTTACTCCCGGAAGCCTCCACAGCCCACCTCCCTGGAGGAGACCCCCAGGCTGCAAAAGTGTTCCCGGGTGGACCCTCAGAGCTCCCAACCAGCTTGGTGCAGACTAGGCCGTTCTGCCTCGTGCTAAAACCTTTTTCTTATGGAGGAGGCCTGTGCGGACTGCGGCATTTCTGAAGACGCGTTGGTCTTTGTGCCAGGGAAAGTTGACCACTCAGATTTCAGCATCATTTCTCCAGGCGCTTGTTTCTTACGAATTTCCGAATGGTTCAGAATCCTCTGCCGGATCTCGGCTGGAGAGGGAAGGAGGACATCGCTATCTTTCTATTTTTGGTATTTGTGTGGATCGGCAGAGGGGAAAGATTTGGAAAACGTTTCTGAATCCTTAACCTACAGACAAGCTTTACACTTGAGGTCGTTGAATTCTTTGGGAGGTGATCTTCATGCATTTCCCCTACCCACATATACGTCAGACTCAAAAGAAAATAACGTGGAGAATTAATGGTATGTTTCAGAAGAAAATGGCCTATATGTGTTGCCCGAGTAAGTCTGAGTTCCCAGTCCCTCCCCAGCCCTCGGATCTGAGGCCTTTGCCTTTGTTCAGATATTGTTGAAAAGCTAATACTCCAAGAAGACCTGGCCCGGGTGCCACCTCCTCCTTGCGCCCAGCCAGGTGAGGACACATTTCTGCAAATTGGAACCTCTGCAGCCTCTCTCTTCTTTTCCCGTCCCGTTATGTAGAATATATATTTTAAAGGAATTATGAAAAGAAGTATTAAAATATAGATTTGCTCCAGCAAAGGGGATTTGGAAGGTAGAAAACTCCAACTATGTAGTCATTTTGCTAATTGTCTTGCTTGATAAAAGCCAGTCATTCCCTGCATTGGTCCCATGAGTGAGCTGGAGATGGCAAGAGGAAGATGAGGACCAAGGAGGCCTCATCTTTCCTGACCAGAGCCAGAAGCTAGGAAGACCCATGGGGGAGAGAGGCCCTATTCTCACAGAAGTGGCCTTGGGGCACTCCCGGTCCAGTGCCAGTATCAGACACAGTGTGCTCTGGAGAAGTATGCCTAAACTTGGCAGGGAGAGAGGTTATGGACTGAAAAATCTGAGCAACTTCAAACTGGTGCAGTCCCCCAAACTCCAAACAAGAAGCTTAGAAGTGTTAGGATTTCAGAAATCCGGTCTGCAGCAACTTGAGGGGTCCTCACAGGGTGTGGGACACACTCAAGTCTGTCTGCCTTCCCACCTTTTCAAATGTGTCATGCATATTTGGCTCATGGGCTTTTAGTTACCATTCTCTTTTTGCTTTGGAAGCCATTTTTTAAATTTCATTTACAAAATAGCCAGAATAGAATCCCCCATTGAAGTAGCACCCAGGAATGAAAAATAAACTCGGTGTCCTGAAAAATGTCAAGAGGGAATCCGAAGCTGTTTGAAAAAAATCCACATCAGCTCCCTCTCAGCTTAGCTGGACATCAGGTATTTATTTATGATCAAAACATTTCTATCTGTCCAATATGTACACGCTATTTTTTTAAAAAAAATAACAAAAACCAAACCAAACATGCAAAACTACTAGATATCAGAGAAATGTCTAAACAGTAGACTGAGATCAATGGGGTTTAGGCTCAGGACTCCTGTGAGGAGTCCACTTCGGGTTGAAGCTCTGGGTCACCACTGAATAAAAGCCATTCGACTCGGGGAAAGAAACCTTGAATCCTCCGCTGTCACTGGAAATAGGAGGGAGCATTATCTTGCAGGCAGGGAGGAGAAGAAATAAGGATAATGGTAGGAGTTTGGGGGCCTTCAGTTCACTGAGGTTAAGGTTGAACACCCCAGCACACAGAGAACAATCCCTGCTGGGTGTTCAGGAACCCCCACATATCCACAGCATCTGCCTGGCATGGCCCCAGAGCCTGTAGACGGTGAGGCAGGCCAGACATGGCCTCTAAAGGGATGTGGCTGACCTCTAGCGAGTTTGCTTGTGGTGGAGGTGGGGAAAAGGGAGCTTCTGGTTCTTTCTACTTGGTCAAGAGCAATAAGGAGGGGCTGCGACTCTGAGGGGCCTCCTCTCTGCCCCTTGACTGGTGCAGCATTCCCTTCTCTCTCCCTGTGGTTAAGGGGAAGAAAGAAAGAAAGACACATTCGAGACAGGAAAGCCATATATACAGTTAGGGTGGAGGAAGCCCCCTCTTCCTTTTGTATATCTTTTCCTTCTTCCTGTGCTTTTGGACCTCAAAGCAGATGAGATCCCCACCAAGCTGAGTAGTGCTGACAGTGGGTCCAGTTACAGGGTGCAGCAGCCAGCATAGATATTTAAGTGGGGATGTGGGAGAAAGGGAGAAATTCTGCAAGGCTTCTTTAGAAATTGCCCTAACTTCCCTCCCCATCCCAGGGAGGAAATCTCCAGCCCATTCCATCCAGCTGGGGGTGCTGGTCCAGTCGGCCTTAGGAGGTATCTCCAGGTTTGTGTGGCTACCCCTCCCTTCTCCTCCTGCAGTCTGAAGGTCTAGGGCGGCCTTTGTCCTCCGAAGCCAGGCCAGCCAGGGCAGAGAGGAGAGAGAAGGCATGCTCGCCTTCCTCTCCTGGAGATCCTGGCTGTGCTGCGGCTTCACGGGGACCAAATAAATGCAGCTGCAGTCCTTTTCAGGGGTCTGGAAACCGGTCTTAAATTCACTTCCACTTTGGGGCCTGCTAAATGCAGAAAGGGCTCAAAGAGAGAGAAAGGGACACTGAGTGGACAGATGTAGGGGTAAAACCAACAAGACAACACAGCACAGGACAAGGCAGGGACAGTGAACTCTGGTGCACACCCTCCCTTCCCCCAAGAGTGAGGACAGGTGACCACAGGCTCCCACGTGGAAGTTTCAAGGTCAAGGTTACGGTGCAAGACTCCAGAACAACTTTAAACCAATTCCCAGTGAAAGAGAAAAGAGCTCAAACCCAAGAGGCCTGGTTTGGAAATCTCTCGATGGTTCTGGGCTAGAGACTGAGCTGGCAGTGCAGAATCAACCGAGAAAGGCCTGGGGCGCTGCGGCCTCAGCTCTCGCCTAGTAGAGCGCCAGGGCCTGCTCACGCAGCACCACGCGCTTCTTCTTCATGCGCCGGTTCTGGAACCAGATTTTGACCTGCTGGTCGCTGAGGTTCAGCCTGTTGGACAACTCCTTGCGCTTCTGCCGATTGATGAATTCGTTGAGGAGGAATTCGTTCTCCAGCTCAGCAATCTGCTGCTTCGTGTAGGGTTTCCGCTTCTTGCGGGCCCTCCCCGGGGCCGCCCCCCACGGCAGGCCTGTAACACAGCCCGGGGCCGAAGTCAGCTGGGCGCTTTCCCAGTGGCCTGCCCTCCCCTGAGCCTCCCTATACACTCTTCCCTGCACCCCACCTCCCTCCCCCACCCAGACTGCCCCAGTGAGCATGGCCACCCTTTACCGTCGGACAGTGAAGGTCTCAGGCAAGAGGCAACACCAGCCGCCTGCATTGTCATGTTCAAGTTGAGCCGGCCCTTGGCGTCATCCTTGAAACTGGCGGCGGCGCAGGGGACCCCCTCGAGCAAGGTAGCAGAGCCCACAGCTGCGCGGCTCACACCAGCGTAGTCGTACTTGGCGGCTTTGAGGCCAGCGGCCCCAGCGGCCAGGCTAGACTCGGGGACGAAGGGCGGCCGTGGGCGGCCGCGCTCCTCAGTCCCAGTGACCGCATCAGATGTATAGAATTTGGCCTGTTCTTCAGGTCCGTCCTTGGAGCCTGGGGGCTGCAGGCCAAGGGGCCCAGAACCAGCCAAATAGGGCTGTGAGAAGCCACTGAAGGCAGCGGCACCTCCAGGCTGCGCGGGGGCGCATGAGGCAGGCGCAGCAGCCCAGGGCAGCGCCCCGCGAGGGTACGAGATGGGGGGCAGCGCAGCCAGCTGGCCGCCATTAGGCCGCAGGTTGGAGAAGTAGAAGGAGTCGGATGCCTGCAGATTGAGAAGCGAGCCCACGTAGCCGGCTCTGTAGAGACTGCGCTCACACATTTCCAACAAAGGGCTTGGGCTGCGCTTGCAGCAGTGTTTAGTTACAACCGGGAATAAGAGGACAGGCTCAGACGATTGGACAAAACTTTGCTTGCAGGTTCTTCAAAGCCGGTCATTTCAGCACCGCCTACATCCCCCGACCCGTTTTCCCCCCCTTCAGGGTATTATGATAACACCCGCAATATTCGATGGCTAACGGTGAGGCAGCCCAGCAGAGGCGAAGCGTGTTGAGAGAGTAGAACTGGGCGAAGGTTAAGCCTTCCGGGCCTGGCTTCGAGATCTGAGGAAGGGGCAGGGGTTGACTTTGCCCCGCTGTCCCTTGAGACTCGTCCTGATCTTGACTGGCTTTGCGCTCTCTCCTCTCCACCGCTACCTGGGCCGGCTTCTTTCTCCTGGCGTTAGGACGCAGTTGAGGCCTTTCCCACAGTAACTCCTGTCTTTCTGCGTGTCCAGCGGAGTCGCAATCCTATGCTGAGCCTTGCTACTTCTAGGTCCAGCCTGATCCTCCACAGACACGCCCTGGAATGATTACTGCACGGGAGATCTAGCAGAGAAAGCCCGCTGTCTGGACCTTTTGTCTCGGGCCGCAGACCCAGCCAAGGGGCTTGCTGAAGGCAGAGCAAAGCATCACGAACGAGCCAGAGTTTGAGCCCAGGAAGGAGGCTTCTCCTCACCACTGGAGCCAGAGTTTGAGCCCAGGAAGGAGGCTTCTCCTCACCACTGCTGGCGAGCATCGCCACAGCCAGGCCTTTTCTCCTGGAGAAGTAGTCCAGGTCCATGGAGAATGCTGGCTCAGGGGCCGTACATCCTGATTTGTCAGTCGTGACCCAAAGCACATTTCTCATACCTCCAGGAGTCACCTTGGCGACCCTACCCTGTGGACCAGAAATCCAAGCTATCCATGCACCCTGTGGTGGGAAGAGTGGGACGAGCTCGCTCCACGGGGTGTGGAAAGGCAGACGAAGAGGCGAGCCGCTGGCTGGAGGACAGCCAGGCGCCCCCAGGCAGCCAGCTAGCAGAGCTCCTCGGTTCAGCCTCCAGAGGCGAGTCCTGCGAACAGGAACACAGAGGTGGGAAGGACAGCGCTCTCTCCTGGGGCAACCACAGCAAGCAATGTGCGCAGCTCTCATTTCTCGACGTCCTTTCTGGTTTGGCCTGAGGGATAGAGATCTTCCCTTCCTGCCCCCAGACCTCCGGCGACCCTGTGATGGGCGCCTGTCCCAGGCTGCAGCCCGCCCCCGAGCACCCCCAGTCAAGCTGGAATTGGTTAGAGCCGCCAGCTCCGCCACAGAGACCACACAGGCGCAGCCGGAGGGCAAGGCTGACCACCGCGCTGAGACTTTATTGTGTGAGTTATGGCGACCAATTGGGCGGCTCTGGGGAACGCAGTCCACCTCTTCCTCCCGCTCTAAAGAGGAGGGAGGGGGAATTGGGGTGGACTCCCTCTGAGATCTACCTATTTCGTTAGGAGCTCAGGCTTGGAGAGATGCTCATACCCTTCGCTCCTTTGGTGAGGGTGTAGGTACAAGGTACATGCCTAGCTCCCAGGGAGTTGGCCCTGATAGTCCTCATTTTGGGAACCCCTCTGTGAGTTTATGGTACTGCAGTCTTCCCGGTCCTTAGAGCTCCAGGTATCTATCCCTAACCAGCTACAATTTCCATTGCTTCCAGATCAGAGCACAGAGATTCCCCTGCATTCTCAGACACCGGAGTGTCACCTTAGGACGTTTGGGCAGCCTCACTGATGGTTTGTCCCTCGGCACTAAGAAGGGAACTAAATGAGAAACAAAAATTACTAGAATAGTTGTCTTTTCTATTGCTTCTTGGTTTCTAAGAGTCCAGCCGCTCCACTTTATTCCCAGGGCTTATGACTTCCGAGGTCCATCAGGCAAAGTCGAGTGCATGGAGTAGGGAGCGAGGAGTCTAGAAGAGGGGGCGGTGATATAGGAAAGGGAGAGTGGGAAAGAGGATTCTGATGCGGAGATAAAACGCAATTTTCGCCAATGCCACCAACCGCCCAGGAGATGGCGAGCGCGCTCCACGCCTGGCGAGGCGCAGCCGCACGGTCAAGATCAACAGTGAAGGGCGGCGCCGCCAGCCTGAGGTCGCCAGCCCCGCGCTGTCATGGGCCGCTGTCGGGCGCAGCGGAGAGCGGCAGAAAGCCAGAGATTGCGGCAACAGAGCAGATGAGCAGCAGACCCAGAGAGACGCTGAGGCCTGTCAGGCGAGGGGACCTGTGGTGGTCACCCTATTTATTGTCTAGCTGCGTCTTCAACATCCGGTGCAAGCTTGGGCTCTGCTCCTGCATCACGGTAATGCGCCGGCTCTGTCCCCCACCGGCTGCGCTCAAAACCTTCCACGTTTGCTCTTCCCGCGGCCTCCCAGTTTCCATCCAAAGGCGAGGAGCTGCTGCCTCTTCCCCGCCGGCCTCCCTTCCCGCCCTGTTGCTCACAGAGGCCCCTGTCCTCCCGCTGCAATTCAGAATTAAAAAGGAAAGCGTATAAACAGCTAAGTCTTCATCTGCTATTGATTTAGCCGTCAATCCAAATTCCACCGAAGAGAGCGTCTGAACTCAGTTTAAATCTTCAACTAACATCCCGTTTCTCTAAAGCGGAGGGAAATCCGACTTGCAAACTACAGATGAAAGAAAAACCCTGAGGCAATCTCGCACCCCTCCTCCCCGCCCCCGGGCGAGGAGGGGGGGACGTGAGAAATGTACCTGGGAAGCGCAGTGTGGCCTGGGAGTCTGGCAATTACAAACGAAGGGGGCTGGGAGATGAAGGGAAAGGGGAAAGCAGGCCCATTTGAGATGAAAATACATCTTGTAAGAAATGCAGCTTAAGTGTTAGTTAGGAATTCTTCCCCAGATGGAAGATCAAGGATCATGTAGCCTCAGTTTCAAGGGTTCTTTCTTTTTCAGAGATAGAATCGCGGCCATTTTTCTGTCTTTCTCTCTCCCTTCTCTTCTTTAATTAAGGCCAAGTCGCCTGCAGTGTCTGAAGACATGAAAGAAGCCAAGCTGAGCCAGAGAAAACGAAAGTAGCCGAGGCCTTGAGTCTGAGCTTTCTATGGCAGCGTCATATGGAAACCCTTCTGCCAGAGAAGTTTATCAATTGTGTGCGGCTTTAAAATTTTTTATTTCACTTACACAGCACGAAGTTAACTACCCTTGAATGGATTTGAGCCTGACGCTAACAAAGACAAATTCCCCAGATCTTCTGCCATTTCTCTAAATGGCAAAAGGCCTTAACAGAAAGTTCACAGTACCTAAAAAAATGCTCCTCCAGGTTTAGGGTGGGTAATGACCTAATTATCGTTTCAGTCACTAATTGTTTTGGGCAGACTGCCTCGCGAAGGAAGGTACTTTTGAGTAGGCATGAATATTTCTTTTTCTATATCCAAATATGGATATGTGTAATTGCAGGATCTTCCTAGCACAGATATTTACACAGGCTTTTCTTGGTTGAAAATGTCCAAGAGATCAAGTTTTCCTATATCCAAGCACACACACGCTATTGTAAATATCAATAAAACTATTTTAATAAATTGATAATAATGAAAGATAAGTGACATTTTATAGGAGAATTAAAAAATAACACCCCACCTCGTCTAGCTTAAGAAAAAAAAAATCACTTTAGACACCACAAATTATATCCTCATTTAAAGACATTCCTACTAATATCTAAGCCACTGGGAAAAGGGTGGATGTGGAAGCGTGGAAGTTTCAAAGACCAGACTCCTGTTGCATTTCCTTCATCTATGAGGAACATAATGTGTTCCACACGGCAAGACATTCAATCAATAAATAATAACAAGAGAAAAGGAAAACAAATTTATAAAGACTCAGTGGAAACAAGAGAGTTCTGTTTATTTGCATCTCCCTAGGAGTAAAAAGGTGATTTGTAAATGCCTGAAGCTCTGTCCATGTATTTCTGCTCACAGACATTGCATCTACAAAAATAAACTCTCCATTGTATAAATATGCAGCACTTCAAAAGTTGTTATTTGTTGTCACTTTTAGAAACATCTTCCTTTTTCCCCTTCTTCCTGGATTTTACAGCTCCAAATTGCTCACTTTTGCTAATGCTCTGAAGCCCCTCAAGAGGCCGAAATGCTCAGTCAAGTTCTTAAACAATTTCTGAATAAATGTTCCCACCCAGGATCACATTCTGCAGCCCATTTCTGAGGATTAAGTTCCCACACACCCTGAACCAAGTAGAGTGGATGCATTTATACCATCCATAGATCATTCTGTGAATTTCAGCCATTTAAATATCTACATTTAAATCTGGAAAAATGAAAACATTCCTGAAGACAGATCTTACTATCTGCAAATTACAGAGTATACAAAGTCAAATCTGCAAAGTTCATAACACCATACAAGTAAAACGAGTGAAAGACTTAAAATTGGGAAGATTGTCTTCATTCCACTGTCAACACCAATGTTACTTAGTAAGGCAGCTGCTTTTAAAGCCTTCACAGTACCTTTAGCCTGTTTTTAGACTCCCCTGTGACCCCCAGATCACTGTCTACACAGGGCTGTTTCCATTTGCCTCAGGGGGACTGCTGAGAGCTAATGATTCAATTACCCAATTACAGGATATGAATGACTGCAAATCGTTCTGTGCTAATGGATTATGAAGAGAACCAGTGCTAGAAACAGACAAATAAAGTGATTAAAAAAATATAAAACCTTAAAATCGGAATGGCACTTCTGAAAAAGTCATTTTAGAAGTTCTAGAAAAATATGTCCTTTATACTGGCCTGGAGGGAGAAACAGAACATTAAAATGTCATAAAAATAAACCTAGAAGAACAAAATCAATAATAAACAAGTAAGAAACAGAACTACAATGTTGGGCAGCAAAAGATTTCAGATCAAGATACGAGAAAGAAAGAAATACAATTCACAAAACTTGCCATCACTGGCTGGGGCTTGGGAATTAAATACATATTCAAGTCTTTCAAAAAGTCTTTTGGAGACAACCAAAGATGCTCAAACATTTTGTGGCTGGCCTGGTTCACCACATCAGGAGACCGTGTCTTTGAGTTTGGAGACAATTTTCTTGTCCTTCACTCTTCGGTTCTGAAACCAAATGGTCACTTGTCTCTCAGATAGGTTCGTGGCAGCGGAGATTCGCCGCCGCTTGTCCTTGTTAATGAACTTGTTAATGGCGTACTCGTTCTCCAGTTCTTTGAGCTGCAGTTTGGTGTATGGCACCCTCTTTTTCCTCCCCCGGCGGTAGACACACATGTCCGGCTGATTTAAAGCCACATCCCCTGGCATAAATAACAGCATGGGAAAAATTAGACTGGGAAATGTGAAACACACACGGCTGGAGACTGTGTACAACTTTCAAGGTGGGAGTGCAGTGAATAAAGCAAGCCAGGCTGTTTAGACTTTATTATTATTTACACAGACAATATTTACAAGTTATTAAGGAACGATTACTTGCACTTCAAAGTAAGTGAAATCGGATGGACCACTACGGTTTTTCAAACAGGCATGGTCATAAGCCTGCATGATTTTACTGCACAGTTATTGAGGATATACATATGAACAGTTTTTGCAAATGAAGGTCACAAACACAAACACAAACAGGCTAACCAAGACCAAAACCAAACCAGGCTTTTCACTCCAGTTCTGATCCACATCTCTGTGTTGGGAGTTTGCAGGACCTGAGAAGAGTTAGTGGCAGCCTGGGGCAGTGCTGTAGTAGAAAAGTGAGGGCCTACTTTTGTGACACCTCTTAGGAAAGAGGTCCTGTTGGGGAGGAGAAGGAGGAGGAGAAAGAGGAGAAGAGGCCTCAGGAAAAGTAAAAACACAACCAAAAAAACAGCAAAGACTCTCAGCTCTAGGAGAGAAACACAGGCACACACACACACACACACACACACACACACACACAGAGGAGAGGGTGTGAGAGATTAGATTAATGCAGGACTTTTCAGGTTTCATACAAACTGGACAAACTGTTGCACTGGTTTAAGGGGCTGGTCGGCTGGTTAAGGACAGACCCTCCTCCCACTCCTAATTACGGGGGCCACACTTCTAGTCCTTTCCTGTCCTCTCCTTCCCTCCTGGCCTCCTTCCACCCTCCCCACATCATCCCTACCTGGAAAGGATGATTTCCAAAAGTGGGAACTCTGTGGCTGGTCCTTGGCGCAGTACACCTGGCTGTTCCACCCGTTGGCCAGTGTCCAGGACTGGTAGCCCTCCATGGAGATGTATGCCTCATGCCGAGGCTCCCCGGAGCCGAAGGTGGATACCATGTCGATGTAGCCAGGCACATGCTGGTAAGGGCTCGTATAACCTTGGTAGAAGGACACCTCCTTGGCGCGCGCGGGCACCTCGTTGGCGGGTACGCTGCTGCTGGCCAGGCCGGACACGTCCATGTACTTCTCCACCGGGAAGCCTCCGAGTGAGGCGTGTGGCGACGACTTGAGAGCATTCTGCTGTAAGCCCACGCCGTGCGACATGCGGCAGCTGTAGTAGCCGTTACCGAAGTGGTAGCCATAGCCCAGCGCGGGGGCGCCCGGGGGTGCTGCGGCGGTCGCAGAGGCCGCGGGCGCCGGACACTCTTTGGCGGGGGGAGCCTCGTGGCGAGCCGCGGCCACGGCCGAGGACGACGACGACGAAGCG